CGTGGCGTGGGCGGCGTGGCGTACGGGCCGCGGGCTGCTGGGACCTGCGAGCTGCCCTCCGCAGACCACCTGGACCACATCAAGAAGGTGGCGGGCGCCGGCGCCGTGGGCCTCGGGGGGGACTTCGACGGCGTTTCACGGTAAGGGGCTGGGCTGAGGCTGGGCCTCCGGGGCACGGGGAGCCGGCGCCTCCCCTGGACGCAGACCCAGCCCTGCGCCTGGCCCTGGGCAGGCTGCCCAAGGGGCTGGAGGACGTGTCCAAGTTCCCAGACCTGGTCGCGGAGCTCCTGAGGAGGCAGTGGACCGAGGCCGAGGTGAAGGGCGCCCTGTCCCTCAACCTGCTCAGGGTCTTCCAGGAGGTGGAGCAGGTGAGCAGGCCCCGGGGCCCCGCCCCCAGCCCCCGGCCCCGCCCCGCTGACGGGTGTCCGGTTCCAGGCCAGCGACCACACGCAGGCGCCAGAGGAGGAGCCGGTGGCCCCGGAGCAGCTGGAGGCCTCCTGCCGGACCCTGTACGGATACTCCCAGCAGGGCTACTCCGGAGCAGCCCCCCAGCATCTCCGCCACCTGCCGGGGGCCCTCCTGGCCGCCGGGGTCCCCCTCCTGCTTGGCCTGTGGCTTCCCTGATGGGGCAGACCCCCAATAAAAGTGATGTTGCCGCGACCGAGCTGTGTCACTGGCAGCCTGGCCCGCAGGCGCCTCGGCCTCCCCAGAGCCAGGGCTGTCCGCCCAGAGGTGCCGCCCCAGCCCGCGGGCGCTCGAGCTCCAGTCCAGCCCCCACCCGCGTCTGCGAGGCTGCCCGCTCAGTGCCGGGGGACTGGCCCTGGCAGCAGCTGAGCCCTGCTGGCCCGCACGGCATCCCCGAGGGCACGAGGCTGGTGGCCACACCCCGAGGGGCTTCCTGGCTTGGACCAGCTGTTGTGGTCCTCTGCAGGAGTGTCCCGAGGGGCCTCTGACCACCTAGCCCACATTCGGGCGCCCACCAGCTGCCCGCGGCTGGCCTCGGCGCACCCCGTTCCCAGTGACCCCATCACAGCCACATG